TGGGATGGGATGGGATGGGAATACTGAGGAAGAGGAGATAGACAACACGGTGCAATTATTATTGGGAATAATCCCAGATCATCTCTCCTGTTTGGTCACCTTGATTTTCTTCTGTCCCCCAGTGGCACGGCCGGGCAGCAAGCTTTGACAGCCAGGGCTCCTGTCCCTCCCCCAAACCACCCCCCACACCGTGATCTGCAGCAAGGACAGCAAAATGGGACTAAACCAAGTAATTTTTGCACTTGGCCTTCAGTCTCAGTGGTTGCTGAGGGGCGGTGGCTGCAGCGGGACTTCTGGTCTAGTTGTTCCTGCGTAAGTAAAGGTAGAAACCTGTTTTGTGGTCAAATATGTTTTTGTCTAATATGTCTCCCAAGGTGATGTTATTTTTGTGGCTTTTGCTGTACGGATCTGTTTCCAGAGGGAGAAGGTGAACTGAGATGTGCTGGGAGTTTGGTCTGTAAAATAACGTGTAAAATAATTTTTAGTGTGTGTGAAGGCTGGAAAGGGGTGAGGAGGTGTCTGCAGAGAGCAGAGGTGGCCGGGACAGGGGACAGTGGCCACTGGAAAGCTGTGGCAGAAGATGGGAGAGACCCTCCCAAGCCACCAGTAGCTCCATCCTCATGGTCAGCCCCAGCCCTGCAGAGTGTCCCCAGGATTCCTGTTCATGTAGAGGTGTCCATGAGCTCTTTAGAAGTTTGTGCAGTGTGTACCCCATAATTCCTTTTGTCATATATAAAAAAAAAAATGCTGTTGATTCCTCAGGAGGGGAACCCTGGGTTTTTTTCCCCTGTATCTGAAGTCTCCCCAGAGCTATTTGCATGAACAGTTCCTTCAGCCCCCTTTGTAGCTGCTGCTTATCCCCCATAACACCCCTGCGTTATCTGGAGTGGAGGAAACAGCGGTGCCGCAGGTGGGATTCAGGAAAAAAATTGGGGAAGATGTTACAGAAATGTGTGACAGCCCTGCATGACCACTGGATCTCTATTTCTTATCTCATCCAAGCAATAAAGGGTGACCCAAGGGGGAAAGGGAAATACAGAAACATGACTGATGTTGAAAAAAGCTTCCAATCTATTTTCTTGAGACTGTCAGCACTTCCTTAAAGAATAAAGTTTCTCAGCACAAGCCCTGAAGGAAGGTCAAGTTCTGGGGAAAAAAAAAAAGCAGCTTTGCTGGTTCCTTGGCTGCAGAGGCCAAGAATGAAGTTAGAATATCCCAAGTACTGGCTTTACAGCTAAATCAGCTGATCTTTATCAGCCAGCTGTGGATTTTGGACACTTTCTCATCCTGGATTTTTCTCTGAGTTAAGAAGTGCATTAGTGCTGTTTATTCCACCTTAATTAAATTAAGCAAAAGCAAATATTTTGGTTTGGAGGTAGTCGGCTCTCCTCCCCTCAGGTCAGCAGGACTGTGTTCATCAGCCACAATCCTCAGGTCAACTTCAGTTTCCATTTTCCCAAATGTCACCGCATCACCCCTGGCTGCACATCACAGCTGGCAGAGAGGGGTGTTTGCATTGCTCCTGGCTGAGATGAATCCTTTGTTCAGTGAAGGGTAAATACATCATTCCTCATCACACCTTGTGTCTTAATTCTCTTTATGTGCCACATGCTATAGGAGCAGAAACTCAATAAAATTGTTTTATTTGTAAGTTCTGCCCCATCTGGTGAAATATTTTCTTCTGTGGAAGCAGGAATTGTGTGTTGTGTGGTTGGGGGTGGGACAGTGGGTGCCATAAAATGTGACAATGACAGAGCCTGGCAAGGTGTGGGGCTGGAGAAGGGCAGATGGAGCAAATTTGGAGCAGACGTGGGCCCTGCAGCTCCTGCCTGGGCTGGGGCAGCCGCACCATCTCTGGGGCAGCAGCTGAGCACCAGCTGCAGCAGCAGAAACAGTACTCCAAGCACACTGCAACAAAAAAAGTGGTAGAACTGCATTAGTTTCCCAGCACAGAGCATTCTGAGGGCTTCTGCTGGGGAACAAGGGGAGGAGAAGCTTTCTGAGTCCATCATCCTTTCTGGGAATGTCCCGTGTTTAATTAGGGGAAGAGTTTCTGAACATTAAAACTGCTTGACTGGGTGGGTCAAACACTGGCCACGAGCCCCTGAACCTTTGACTGAGCTGGAGGAGTCTCAGGGGAGCAGGACAATGAGCTGGCAGTGCCTCTGGCAGGTTGGCAAACCAAAGGACAAGATGTCCCCAGAAGAAACCACAGCAGTCCCAGCTGATGGCACTTGACAATCATTAATTGCAGCAACCCACTCAAATCCTTTTCTTCTCTAATCCAGGCTTTTTGGGTTTTGGCATTCTCTGTATAATCTCCATCTTTTATCCCTTCTCCTTGTTATTGAGGATTTAGTCAAAACATACGTGGGGTTTGACACAAAGCTGCTATTTTTAATCCCTGCTTCACACAGATAATCAATTTCCACTCAATACTGGCTGTCACTTGCATTGCTGGAAAACTGCATCTCACGTTAGTGAATAACACCCACACCTGGTCTGCTCAGACCCTCCCCCCCCAACCTTTATATTTAAAATGCTGAGATTTTGCCACATCCCTCAGCCAGGGGATAATCAGCCCATTGTGGGTTTGTCAGCCACTCAGGGGGATTGGTCACACTCGTGTGTGAGCTCCACACACCAGGGCAAACACTTCCCTTTCATCAAGAGGGCATTTGGAACCCTGGGAAGGAGCTGAGCCCGACACAAGTGCCGTGCCAAGATTTGTTGAGTTGTTTTCTTGCTCCTCGCTTGCTGCTCTTGACCCTGTAATAGAAACTCATAGAGACATCTCAATTATTTCTAAGCAAAATAAGGAGGGTCACCCCAGGGCCACATCCCACAGGAGACTTGGTCATGCTGGGGCTCCTTTGAAAGTCACTGCAGAGGGGAGGATGCTGCTGCAAGCAGCCACAAATGAATAGTCTGTTTTATTGAGTACTGCAAGCAAAATAAACACGTGGAGCATTCCCAGACCTTCCTTTTCATTTTTCTCCTCCTTTCTCTTCAGTTTTCATCTCACAGTCCCCAATTTCATCAACGACTGACTGGCTGCAGCAGGGTAGGGGACACTGAAGGGAGGGTGGCCAGGGCTGGTTTCATGTGGGGACTCAGGGGCAAGGGAAATCCCATGGGTCCAGCTCATTGCAAGGGATCAGAGGGCTGGGAACTGTCCCAACCTTGCTCCTCCCCACCAACTTGAGAATGAAATAAGTTGTATCTGAGAAGAAAAGTGGAAAACATCCAGTGGGAAGTGAGTTCCAGACATGGAATCCCAGAATGGTTTGGGTTGGAAGGGACATTAAAATCCAACTCATCCCACCCTTGCCATGGCAGGAACACTTTCCACCATCCCAGGCTGCTCCAAGCCCTGTCCAGCCTGGCCTTGGACACTTCCAGGGATCCAGGGGCAGCCACAGCTGCTCTGGGCACCTGTGCCAGGGCCTCCCCACTCTCACAGGGAGGAATTCCTTCCCAATATCTAGCCAGGGTGATATTCTACAATACTGGCTTCCCACTGATCACATTATTGTGTGGTGGGTTTTTTTTTTCATACATCAGCAACACATTTGTTTGGCAAAGTGAAGAATCTTGTCATAACAATTTATATTTAGCCTCCAAATGTGGCCTTTAATTGCTAATTACAGAATGCTACTCACAGGTTGGCAAATTACACATGCCAAAAAAAAACCCCAAACCAGTGAGGAAAAAAACAATTGGGGGTCTATAAGGGTTTAAGAAATAAACAAACATGGTCTTTAATTGTCTTAGGGGAAAAAAAAATAGCAGCTAAGAAATAAATGTAATTCAATATTGATGTTGAGAGGGGTGGAGTGTCACAGCTGCCACAACAAGGCTGTCCCCATGGCTGGGAATCACTTATGCTACAAGAAGTGTTTGGAACCAAGAGCTGCAAATTCCCATGGAAGCAGCAGAGAGGCCAGTGCAAGGACACTCAGGACATTCTCAGGGCACTCCAAAGGGTGACTCAGTGGGGACAGACACAGGTTTGTGGGCACAGGGCAACTCCAGCTGCCCTGGGCCCAGCTCTCTGGCAGGAGCAGCTTTGTGTGCTTTGATTTCAATTTTGGTTTATTTCTTCAGAAAGCTTTTTTTTTATAAATAATTTTTGATTAGCCTATAAAGAGCATTCAGTCAACGGGCTCAGTCCCAAACACATCCCAGTCCTCCTTCAGTCTTTAGTTCAAGCAATGTCAGTCCAGATAATTTTATCTTTGCTTGTAATATAATAAATTAGACAGAAAGCTATATATAACTCACTGGAGAAAATTACAGCCCTGATGCTTGAGATCCTGATCTCAGTCCTCTGTTTGTTCTTCACTTTTACTACTTCTGTTATTTGCCCTGCTAATCGTGTCTCTAATTAGGCAACCCCAGACTTCTCAATCTCATTTTGCCAGAGGTTTTCTCCCCCAGGGCCCTCATTGTTCTTCCTGCCATTAAGATTATCCATCACTGCAGTTGTGCACTTATTTAAATGCCAGGTCAGGCATCTCATCTCTGCTTCAAATGCCTCATGCAAGGATGCTCTCCCTGGGACTACAAACCCTGTCTGTCATTTCCAGGGAGTCTCAGCTCCTGGGTGGACAAAGCCAGGGGCCACAGGGGGCTGGGGTGCTCCTCCCAGCACTGGATGTCCCAGGAGAGCTGGGCTGTCTCTGCACAGTGCAAGAAATGCCAGCTGGATTAGGACAGGGGGAAATGGTTTTAAACTAAAGGAGGGTGGATTTAGTTTAGATGTTGGGAAGGAATTGTTCCCTGTGAGGGTGGAGATGCCCTGGCACAGGTGCCCAGAGCAGCTGTGGCTGTCCCTGGATCCCTGTGAGTGCCCAAGGCCAGGTTGGATGGGGCTTGGAGCAGCCTGGGACAGTGGAAGGTGTCAGGGTTGAAACTGGATGAGCTTTAAGGTCCCTTCCAACCCAAACCACCCCATAATTCCATGATCCATTTGGCAACAGGAGGTTATGCTGTTCCTTTGCTGGGGTGAGCATCACTCCAAAATCCGCTTTGACGAGAAGCTAGAGCTGCAGGTGAGCCTGGGAAAAGTGCAATTTGTCTTCTCTTTGCAGAAGCACAGGCTTGGATATTCTGGATTTCTTTCCAAGAGCCAGAGGCGTCCCAGGAGCTCTCCCTGGCTCCCAAACCCTGCAGCCAGCCTTCGGCAGCAATGCTACTTAAATGTACAAGAAATGTATTTTTTTTTCCTGGACTTTTCCCAAAGATAATCTGTAATTATATTTTACAGCTTTATATACATATATATATACATTTAAGACAGTGCATTAGTCATGCAAACATAATTATATATTTTATGTTCCCATGTCATTTTTAATTAAAAACATGGCATTTAAAGCACACACATTTCAAAAATCCAACACAGGCTTCTATTAAAAATGCTGTTCGTTAAAGCTAATGAAGTACCTGAACGGGCCAGGACAAGCGCAGAGCCTGTTCTGTTGCCGTGGGAACAGCCGGCATCAAAGCCGAGAGCAGCCGCAACCTGCGGCTCCCGAAATAACAGGGAAATGTGATTAGGGACAAAAGCAGCCCGAGGCCGGGCGGCGTTTGCCCGGCTGCGGTGCCAGATGTGGCAGCTCTGGGCCAGATCCCGTTTCCCGGGCCCGGAGGAGCTGTCGGGAGCGGTCCAGGGGCGATGCCAATGTTGGATCCCCACGGGAATACGATGTGGGGCAGCCCTGGGGGGAATTCGGGCACCGGGCAGAAACAGCCCAGAGCCAAGCGGAGGATGGGGAGCGCGACCCAGCAGCCAATTCACATATGCAAATACTTTTCTGGCTCGTTAATTGCTTCCAAAGTGGAAAATTTTCTCCTAATCTCCCATTAGCAGCTGCACATCCCTCTCCATTTCAAATTGCCGTGGTTGAGGGTTTGTGGCTGTCGACAGGGACGGAGTGGAGGAGCGGTAATTTTTTAATTAAGTCGCTTTGCCGGCGGTCCTCTCGGATGTCTGAGAGAAACCAGGGGAGGATTTTGCCCATCACTCTGCTGGTTTCCTGGAGACCACCCTGGCCACCCCTCCCTGCCAAGGATCCCTGTCCCAGCTCGGCTCTGCTCCAGCCCAGGGGGGACCCTGGTCGCACAGGAGCATTCCCTGGCACAGGAGCAGACCTAGGCAGGTGAAATCCCCTCCTCGAGCACAGCTCCCACCTCCCGGAGATCATTTCATGTGCTTTTTCTGGGACTTGATTGTTATAGATACATATTATCGGCTTTTCAAAAATATTACAATGAATGTTATATGTATAATGCTGGAAAACGTTGCTGTATTAATGTGGTTTATTTTATTTCTTTTATTGATAAAACTTAGAAAAAGTGGTGTAATACATATATATATTTTTTTTTTAGGCTGTAGCATGGTATTAAAATAAAGACTGCTTTTGTTCATATAATCCAGAGACTGAAAAGATAGTTGGAACCCCCCCTGCATTCTTAGATTATTTTATCCAGATGAAGACAACAGTGACTGGAGCTCCAAAGGAGGAATTTATTGAACATCTATTATTGGGGAGAATGAGACTCAATGGAGCCGAGATTGAGCTATTGGGGAGAGGGGAATTTTTATCCATAACAGAAATAAAAGAAACTATATTAATACAGAAAAGTTTT